AAATAAAAATAAAATCCTGTGATAAATTCCACTTCTTTGCTTCATTAAAGAACCATATAGGATGAAGCTGAGGGGAATATGTGATGCTCCCTGGACTACTAAGAACCGATGTGGAATATGTATTTACATTAATAGCTCTTTTAAAAAAAGAAAATGAAAGTCAAGAATCTTAATCGATTTCATCAAGTCATATAATTTATTTTGTTTCTTCTTAAAAATATTTAAGGTACTGATTAATGATCAGAGCCAGTGTAGCCTAAAAGTCCTATTTTTCAAAGACAGAAAATTTGAGAAAGTGGGTCAAAGAATACTGATGGTCATAGAAATAATCTGGAATTGATTTTTTTATGCTGGAAGTAGTTAATATGTTACAAAAATAAATGGCTAGCAGTTTACTTTCACTGCCCATCAGGTAAAATAAAAACCAGTGATTCTGGAACAAGAACAGAGTTCAAGGAATCAAGGACTCAGATTCCTATTATTTCCTCTTTCTCTCCACACCATGAGGGGAAATCAACTGCCCAATCCAGTCTTGATTCTATTTTTCCTGCTCCTTCCCAGAGATGCTTCCACTGCTTCAAAACCGTAAGCAACATTTCCAGAAAATTCTATCGTCCTTCTCTTTTCCATTGTGTTATCTGCTTCTTGATATGTCTCTCTTATTTATTTTCTGATTTCCTATGAAATTATCTGCTGTTCAAGGGGTTTGGAAAGGTCAGTAAATTGTTATGGCTCATGTGGAAAGAAGCATACTCCAGTTCTAGAAAACATGGAGACATAGGGCAATAACATTTGTGAAACCTTCACCAAATAAGAATACATTCATTAAATAATAATATAGAATTCCTGCCAAAAAGAAAAAAAAAAGGATACATTCTTTATTGTCTCATGAAAAGGGCTGCAGTGTCTCGTCCACTGTGAAATGACTCAGTAGCCGTATTTTCCCTCAGTCAGGGATCTCCAGGATGGATGCATGACTTTCACACAAGCCAGGATGTGTGTGTCAGACCACTCAATTCTTCAGCAAACCTGTAGAGGCTGGCGTTAGATCTTGGGAATATACAGATTAACAAAATGTGGACCCTGCCCTCAATACCTCACAGTATAGAAAATAGGAGGAGATAGTGCACAGAGAAAGGAATACAGTGCAAAACCTGCAAGCATTGCAGGAGTCTGTGAGAATGCCCACAGAGAAAACCTCCCTCCTCCTGGAACCTTTAAGGGAGATAGGAGAAGGGACATCACCTAAGTCTGCAGAGAGAAAGTTGTTTTGGGGATGTCTTATTGAAGTAAATAGAATGTATCCAGATAGACAAGGACACTCCAGAAAGAGAGAGAGTCCTGGGCAATCAGAGCATTGCATAGTACAGCACATTTGAGTGGTTGTAAATGATGGGTAAAGAACAACAGGAAAGGGATATTTTCTTCTGGGTGGACATGGTAATATATTTGGTGATTAGTGTTACATGGTTTGGCTTGGCTTCCAACAGAATGAAAGAGGGGAAAGAGCTAAAATTGCTTCTGAAATAATACTGCAAAGCAATTCAACTCCTCCTCATCTATTAATCGCTATCACTTTCGTGTCCTGGAATAAGGAAATTCATATCATCCACATGAAACCCAAGACCACCTGCAGACAGGTTCTTAACACTTTCAGTGATAATCAATTGGTTAATCACATTGTGTTGTTGCTTAAAAAAAAAAAAAGTTTTTTCAGCTTTATAGACATATAATTGACAAATAAAATTACAAAATATTTCAAGTGTACCACGTGATGGTTTCACATACATATATAATGGAAGGATTCCTCCCATTAGGTGAATTAACACATCCATCTCATGCGTATTTACTCTTCTTCTTTTTTTTTTTTTTGTGAGAACATTTAAATTCTACTTCCAGCAAATTTCATTTATACAATGCAGAGTTATCAACTATAGTCACCAGGTCATACATTATATGCCCAGACGTCATCTTATTATAAATGAAAGTTTGTACCCTTTTACCAACCTCTCCCTATTTCCTTCAACACCCCTCCACCCCAGCCCCTGGCAACCACTTTTCTGTTCTCTGTTTCTATGAATTTGACTTTTTTTTTAAAAGATTCTACATATAAGTGATAGCATGCAATATTATCTTTCTCTACATATTTCTCTTATAATGACCTCAAAGCCCATCCATGTTGTTGCAAATGATAAGATTTCCTTTTGTTAAGGCTGAACAATATCCCATGTTGATCCACTTCTAATTTTGAAAATAACTTCCTTTCTTAAAAAAGACTTTATTTATTTGAGGGAGAGGGAGAGAGAGAGCACGAAAGAGATGGGGAGGGGTAGAGGGAGAGGGAGAAGCAGACTCCGAGCTGAGCAGGGAGCCTGATGTGGGGTTCGATCCCAGGACTCCAAGATCATGACCTGAGCCAAAGGCAGACGCTTAACCGACTGAGCCACCCAGGCGCCCCTGAAAATAATTTCTATCCAAAATACATAATGACTCATGGATTGCTTATCCATAGCTTATGAATAGTTTTACAAATATTGTGAGAGTGAATATCCCCACAATACAAGAGAAGCATATTAATGTTCAACTTGTTGGAGGTTTCTGAGTTTCTAAGATCTTTTGGATTAGCCTTTGAAGAATACATTCCTCTACCCTCTTGCTGAAATCTGGCTCTGTTCTGTGATTGGTGATCACAGAAAAGATGATCTAGAAAACAGCCACAATAATGATGTCTTTTTAACTTCTCCATGATTGATCCAGAAACTTCTCCACAGGCAGTATCTGGTGCTGGTCCCATCAGAGCTGTACACTGGGGTCTCTGAGAAGGCTTGTGTCATGCTTAATCACCTGAATGAGACGGTGACACTGAACATAATTCTGGAGTATGGAATGCAGACCAGAACCCTCCTCACAGACCTGGTGACAGAGAAGAACTCCTTCTACTGCAGCCCATTCACTGTTAGTATGGCTCCTCGGGATATGGAAGCTCATTAGAGGAAGAGCATATTAGCTGATGCCTGTGTCCTGACACCCGACAATAAAAAAGCATAGTGAAAAAACTGAGAGGCACAAAGTGACTTTCAAATTAGATTCTAAAAGTGAAGTTCTACTGACTATGCTTTCATAATATTTACAAACAATTCCAGTGCAATATGCAAAACGTAATAGTAGTTATGGGAAAGATTTCGCTTGCTCTTAAACTTGTGAGGGAAATAAAGTTCATTCCATTACCCATAAAAACACTGAAACTCATAAATTTAAGTGACTTATTTAAGATCTGACAAGTGGTTGTCGGTTAATATCTTGTCCTTGTAGCTTTTTATTACATAAGGAATTAAATAGTTAATCACAGGGCTTACTACCAATGATAACACAGAATGTTGATGTTGACCATTGGAAAATAACATTTGATAATTATTTTAATACCATCATATTGCTGTGGAAATGAAAGCATGTTATTTCCTTCACCCTCGTGACAGTTGACAGTTTGAAGAACTAGTTCCTTTTATTGCAGTGACATTTTCCCTTTAAATCAACAAAGGGTTACTGTCATGTTACATTAACATAAGAATCTATAAATCCAGGAACATAATTCTCGACTTATTCCTTACTCACTCTCCGGGACTAACCAGAGAAATAAGAAAGTCATAAAGGCTGAGACATTCAAAAGTGGGTCTGCGCAGATTTTTCAGCTCTTTTCTGTTTTACAGCTTCCAGAGTTACCATCTTCCTCAGGGTTGATTACTGTGGAGGTGAAGGGGCCAACCCAGCGGTTCATAAAGAGGAAGACAGTGCACATCACAAAAGTAGACAGCCTCATCTTTGTCCAAACAGACAAACCCATCTACAAACCGGGACAAACAGGTATCGGGGAATCAGCGAGGGCAACTTTAAGGGGTGGGTGTGTGGTTCTCTATTCCTTTATTCTGCAGTCATGAAAATCCAGGCATGTCGTTATCTGTGTTATTTACCCCCCGATTCCCATTGGACGGTTTCAAGGGAAAATCTCTCTGTTTCAGTGAGATTCCGCGTTGTCTCTGTGGATGTCAATTTTCACCCTTTGAATGAAACGGTAAGTCTCATTACGGTGGATGAGTTTGGGGGAAACAGGCAAAAATGTCAAGCCCATTCTTTTCGAGAACCTGAGACCAATCTCATAAGAGTACCACTGCTGGAGAATAGGGAAATCAGTTCACCAACTGCATTATTAAAATAAAATATTCAGTTGAATTTATCCTCTTAAAGATCCCAGTAATTTTTATTGAACAAAAGAAAATCAGTGCACTTGATTTCTCCCTTAGAGAAATGGAGACTTTCTCAGAGACAAATTTCATCTGCAAAATAAACTTCTTATTTGGCCCTTTTTACCTTAGCATAGGTTTCCACAATTGTACAATATTTCATAAAAGTAAAGTCATGACTTCTCAAGAGATATATGTCCCAAACGAAACATGTAAAGTGCCGTGAACCAAACTGGGGTACATTTCCTTGTTTGGACAAGAAATATACAGACTCATTTCCTCTGAATCAGATAGTTTATCAGTGCTGATGTCATGGCTTTCTTTTTCTAACCTCTATCCCATACTCATACTATTTTTTTTCCTTCCAGTTCCCAGTGGTTTATATTGAGGTAGGTAATATCTTATGCATCTCAGTCAAGATGAGGACTTACTACAAGTTATGTTCCATTGCCCCTTGCCACCTCTCTCCTCCCCACTAGCACTTCCCCAAAACTAAACAGTTTTCCCTGTCTATCTTCAATCCTTTGGAGAGTGGATAAGATGTAAATGAAGGAATAAAATCCCCTGAGATGATACAAGTTCACGACTCTTCCAGTATTTCTGACCAAAATGGATATGCATAATTTCAAAAAGAGGTATTGCGAGCTGTACTCTCTCATAGCTGGTAACCTTGCTGCCCTTTCCTCAGTGTAGAATTCCTAGAAAACTTTGCCCAGTACCTTTTGTATCAATTTACCAACCATCTCTTACCCAACTCCCAAAAGTGCCCTCCCTAAAAGCTGTCCCTCTACTCAAATTATATATTTCAGTTGTTTCTATGAACTCATAACGTTTTTACCTATAGAATCCCAAGAGGAACCGAATTTTCCAATGGCAAAGTCTCAGATTGCAAGGAGGACTCAGCCAGCTCTCCTTCCCACTCTCAGTGGAGCCCACGCTGGGTATTTATAAGGTCAAACTGCAGAAGGAGTCAGGGGAAAAAATAGAGCACCCCTTTGAAGTGAATGAATATGGTAAGAATTCTGCCTGTGTCCAAGACATTTGTGACATTAGAGTATTTAAGAGTTTAAGAGTTTTTACACATAGGTACAAGCAAAAATCTAGCATATGGTAGTTGGAAATTAGCAAGTTTTTTTTATTTACCCAAATAGTCACTAAGCGTCTTTCATGCACTATCTCATTTAATCCTCTTATCAACCATCTGAGGCAGATACTATATTGTCTCCATTTTACAAATGAGTACATCAATACTAGAACAGTTAGTAATTTACCAAAAATCACAGAGCCAGTAAGAGGTAAGAGAGATTTTAATAGGTCTGTTACCCTATTCAAACAGAAATTGTTAACCAATACAACAAATATCTGCATGCATCTGTTGATCTGTATCTTATAACTGAAGGTACCTCCTGGCTGTCTATGACCTACACTTAGACTACTCTAATCAAAGTGGTGAGACATTAAAGCCATCTTATTAGTTATCAATCATGTGGATTTTCTCAAGTAAATTAAGTATATCATGCCATGGATGAAGAGACTTATCACAAAACTATCATTCCCCAAATTCACCTGGACTACCATGAGGATTATAGAACAGGGATATATTACAGGAACAGCTAGCCTTACACAACTGTGAGAGAGGATGGATGGGAAGGTAAGGGTCCAGCAGGGGGGAACTGGTGGATCAGAGGAAATTACTAACCAGTTCTGAAGCATTGGTGGGGATGAATAACTTAGCACCTTCAAGGGGTAACTTCAGCCGCCAAAGTGGACCACAAAGGGAAACTCATAGAAGAATCTATGGAAGACTGTATGTATCTGTACATCTTCTTTTCTACCACTTCAGTACTTCTGTAATCAAGCGTCTGATGGTGGGTCTCGGGCCTCTATTAGTCAGCAGGACAAGCAGTTGGGAAGAACTGGACATGGAAAGAATAAGGACAAATTGGAATTTCCTCGCCTCTCTGTACCTGTCACCACATCTAACCATGATGACCTTCAGAGACTAATGATGCTGCTTTCCTCCCATCTTTAAGTCTTGACCAAATTCAAAGAAGATTCTAGGAAATGCAGGGCCAGCGTAACCAAGTTAACATGGTACAAATACCCATGGTCATAAACACATCTCTGTGGTCAGTAGAGGCCCTGCTGCGTCTTAATGTAATTGAAATCATTTCATGTGATCCTATGTTATAAGGTTCTGTAATAGTCATTACTAATACTGACAAGATATCCTGCCCGCCCACCTTCACCTCTTTCTTCCTTCTGTTAACAACAGTTTTGCCCAAATTTGAGGTCCAAGTGAAAATGCCCAAGACTATTGGTTTTCTAGAGGAAGAATTTACGGTATCCGTCTGTGCCCTGTGAGTTACATTATTTCATAGCATTTCTATCTCCCTACTTTATGTGCACTGCAAGTAATCGTTATCAGACTTCAAAGTATTTTAATTAGAGAATGACTTTCTCTCCAACATGCCTGAGCTCCAGCTAGGGAGTGGGGGTGGCAGCATAGGACACTTTTACTTCTACCAATAAAAGCATTTACACTTAAAATGTGCCAGATAATGTTTTAAGTGCCTTGTGAGATGGGGATAGTTATCCTTAGTTTGCAAATGAGGAAACTATAACATGTGGGGGATAGAAAACTTGTTCAAGTTTCTACATACAGTAAATGGGAGACTAGAATTTAAGTCTAACAGTCTGGCTCCAGATCCTGAACTCTTTGCCACTATCCTATATTGCTTCTGCAATTAAAAAAAAAAAAAAATCTAGCTTCATGAAACATTGTACATGGCAGAGACTGTGCCAAACTGAACACAGGACATCCAGCTCAAGTTCATGCTCATGTTCATAACTTCTGTGTTTTTTTGTATCCTATGATCCCCATTTTTTTTATTGCTCCCAATTTCTTAAACTATGGAAAATTAGGGGGAAAAAAAGGAGACTTTCTTAAATAGGTATATAGCTATATAATGTAGAATTTAAAAGATGTGTCATAGTTATTTCTTCCCTGATTGCCTTTTAGTTCAGTAGAACATTCTCCACATACACTGAGGAGAGACACTTTACCTCTTGCTTTTGAAAATAGTATGAGGATCATATTTTCATCTTTCTCACCAGTTTGATGTTTAGATTTTTCCCTCAGAAGGAAGAGCCCTTTGAGTGACATTTAAAGATAACATTCAACAAAGTGAGATTTGGTAAATAATTTATAGCTTTATCAGCACTTCTAGAAATTAGGGGGGAAAAAAACTTTAAAAAGGGGAGGATCAGGGTCATCGAAGTCAAACCTCATCTACCTCACAATTTGGACCAAAGCAATAGGCCTCAAACTTAGGTGAACATCAGAATCTATGGAGGTAATTAAAATGTAGATTCCTTGACCCCACATCTAAAGATTCCAATCATAAATCTAAGGAAAGATTCAGGACTCTGAATCTCAATACATATCTCAGGTAATTTCAATGTAGGTAGTCCATTAAGCATACTCTGAGAAACAACAGACTAAGTTTGGCTTCGCATCTTGTCTTACTTCACTCAGTCTGCTATGACAAAATACCACAGAGTGGGTAGTTTATAAACAACAGAAATCTATTGCTCATAGTTCTAGAGGCTGAGAAATCCAAGATCAAGGTGCCAGCATGGTCACGTTCTGGTGAAGGTTCTTTCTGGTTCATAGCTGGCGCCTTCTTGCCATGCCCTCATATGGTGGAAGGGGCAAAGGATCTCTCTGGAGCCTCTTTTATGAAGGCACCAATCACATTCATGGGGGCTCCACCTGCATTATCTAAGCACCTCCCAAAGACTTCATCCCCTAATACTACCATCCTTGGGGTTTAGGATTTCCACATATAAATTTGGGGGGATGCAAACATTCAGACCATACCTTAGCATATCCGTCCATCAGATTTGGCAGAATCAGACTAAGTCATTATGATACTGTTCGTATATAACAGATATGTTATATGATATGTAGCTAGTGTATTTAAATTCCCATTTAAGTTCTCATTTATCCTCTTAAAATACATATGAATTAGGAAAGACCTAGAAATACCCTGTCTACATATCCTTAAATTTTTCCCTAAAACAACTTAGGTATTGTCAAAGCTGGAATTATAACCTAGATAACCTGACGGTGGGGAAAGAAGGAAATAAGATAGTCTTTTTTTTTTTTAAAGATTTTATTTATTTGTTTGAGAGAGAGAATGAGAGAGCACGAGAGGGGGGAAGGTCAGAGGGAGAAACAGACTCCCCGCTGAGCAGGGAGCCCGATGCGGGACTCGATCTCGGGACTCCAGGATCATGACCTGAGCCGAAGGCAGTCGCTTAACCAACTGAGCCACCCAGGTGCCCAGAAATAAGATAGTCTTATAGTAAAACCTCAACTGAAAGGGAGGAAAGATCTGAGAAAAACTACATTGTTCATTTTTCATTTAGAAGTGTTTCAAAAAGATTCAGTAAGTATCTTCTCTTAGAGTTGTAGATGTAGGTCCACTTAGATAATTAAGACATAGTTTCAAAATAAGTGTTTCTAAAGTACAAATGGTATGGGAAGGAAGTATATGTGCTCTATGAACAAGATGGATAAATGAATGGATCCAATCGTGTGAAAAATATCTGAGTTGTTTATATCAAATATCCTTTTGTATAACTGCTTTATCGTTACAGATACACATATGGAAAGCCTGTCTCTGGTCTGGTGACAATTAACGTATGCAGAAAATACTCCCGATACCGTTCTGTCTGCCATGGAAGACATTCACAAAGTATCTGTGAAGAATTCAGTCAACAGGTATATGGAAACCATTCTCCCCAGGACACTAACACCAGATCTTGTTTTCTCATGGATTTTAATGCAAGAAAGAATATCATACAAAAAAATACAATACTGTATGGTGAAAACAGTTCAACAGAGAGTAGTGTGGAGTAAGGGAAACATTGTAAGATTGCCTGCCAATATTAGGAGCCCACTTGAGAGTTGGGTTCATGAATTTATAGTGGTATTTATTTGGCCAGTTTTGTAATTTCCTTCTGAGAGCAATCAGCATGCCAGGTATAAAGGCATAAGATAATGTGGAAGTATCCAAAGTTGGTCTTTATCAAACAGATAATAGAAAAAGAATGTGGCAGATGTTAAGAATTTGGTTAGTGGGAGGGGGCACTTGGCTGGCTCAGCTGGTAGAGCATGTGACTCTTGAATTCAGGGTCATGAGTTCCAGCCCCATGTTGGGTGAAGAGCTTACTTAAAAAAAAAAAAAAAAAGAATTTGGTTAGTGGGAGAATCAAATGACTTGTTATAGAATCTAAACCTCATATGGAAGAATATGAAACCAGCATAAAAAGAGAACATAAAAGCCCAGTGGCAGTGAGTGGGCACTGTAAGGGTACGGAAAAGAAAGTTATCAAAGCTTCAGAGAGGGGCGCCTGCATGGTTCAGTTAAGCATCCAACTCTTGGTTTCAGCTCTGGTCATGATCTTGGGGTGGTGGAATCGAGCCCCACTTCGGGCACTGTGCTGGGTGTGGAGCCTGCATAAGATTCTCTCTCTCTCCCTCTCCCTCTGCCTCTCTCGCTACCCTCCTCCCCCATGCATGCATGCATGCACTCTTTCTCTAAAAAAAAAAAAAGTTGCAGAGAGCAAATGAATGAAAAGCAAGGGTGATGAATATGATGATGAATGTCAAAATAAACATCAATAAGAAAGATAAACATGAGGGGTGCCTGGGTGGCTCAGTCGGTTAAGCGGCTGCCTTCGGCTCAGGTCATGATCCCAGGGTCCTGGGATCGAGCCCCACATCGGGCTCCTTCCTCAGTGGGGAGCCTGCTTCTCCCTCTCCCTCTGCTTGCCACTCCACCTGCTTGTGCTCTCCCTCTCTCTATCTCTAATAAATAAATAAATAAAATCTTAAAAAAAAAAAAAAAGAAAGATAAACATGAGAAAAATCAGGTTGCCAAAACTTTACTATATCAGGGACACAGGAATTAATTTTTATTTTCCAGTGAGTAAATTAAAAAATGATTAAGTAAACTATAAGTAAATATAAGTAAATTAAATATGATTAAATTTTATTACACAATACATATTTTCATGTAAATAAGTAAAAAAATTAAAACAAATCTTTCTTAAGATGTGGGTCCCAATGTTTAGTTTGGAAATCTAATTACTATAATGATTCATCTATTCAATAAATATATATGTTTTTATTAATGTCCTAGGCATGGAGAAATACAGTTAGAAAATATAATCCTTAGTCGATGTGTAGATGAAGGTGCTCACAGAGGAGATGTTATATCTGAGTTGCGTTTAGAAGAGCAGTAACTGTTGGCCAAGATAAGAATGGAAGAAAAAGAATGTTATCACTTGAGGAACAATGTATGCAGAGAGAGTATGACGGCACATTTTGAAACTAGGACATTTAATTTGGCAGAAACGGGATAGGCTTTCAGAAGAGAAGGAGGAAGGCAGAGGTTGGCAATGAGTAACTCAACGATTAATGATGACATTTGATATCATTTTTGGCTTGGGAAGAAATTTGATGTCATTTTTGGCTTGGGAAAGGATCAACCCCTAAAAGATGGTCAGAACATTTGTAAAATTTCCTTTGGCCACCGAAAAACTTTTACAGATTGATAACTGACTTTTTTGACAGCAAACCAGAGGACCCAGGAACTCTCTTTCTTTCTCTTCAGGCAGACAGTGAAGGCTGTTTCACACAACTCGTGAAGACTAAAATATTCCAGCTGAGACAGAAGGGGTATGACATGAGCATACAAGTGGAAGCCAAAGTCAAAGAGGATGGAACAGGTTCGTGTTATTTTCAAATATTTATTAATTCATTAATTCACCAATATGTTAAGCATTTATCAAACATCCATTCCATGTGAAACACTTTGTAGTTTCTGGGGACTATGAAAATAACACGGTCCCTGCTGTCAAGGATCTAGAAATCTAAAGAGAAATTACATGTATGTATGTATATGTGTATATGTATATATGTTCGTATGTATATATTTATAACCATAACAAAATTTCCACGAGAAATGTAAAAACTAAAGTCCAAATGAGTATGAAGAGAGAGAATTAATTCTTATATAGGGACAAAGAAAGTTTATAAAGTAGCATGTGAGCTGATTTATATAGAATGACTAATATTTTGAAAGCTCATGATGGACTGGGAATATATGATTGGCATAAAACAAATGTGTTTGGTCTCAAAATAATCTGACAATGTAAATTGGGGCTAAGGTGTGTAAAAAAGTAAATCGTATGCTAAAAAGATTAGACTTTATTGTTAAAAACCTTGGATATTGGCAGATAGATTTAAGGAGAATGTTCTAAATAAATTGATATTTTGAAAATATAATTCTAGCAGACATAAAGAGGACAGGCTACATGAAACAATTTGTTACATGTGATACCTCAGATTACTATTCAAAATTGCTCCAAAGATATCAGATCTGGGACCTAGGAAATGGAAACGCCATTAACCAAGATAAGGAGTAGATGAGAAAGAACTATGGTGATGAGAATGTGTCAAAGATAATTAATTGTAATCTGGAATTTCAAGATAGAAGTTGACTCATTCTGCTTTAAAAATAATTTTAAAAGAAAACCAGAGCAAAATCAAGACCAGAAATGTAAATCTGGAATGATTCTAATTGTATCTATATCCTCCTAAGAGTAAGTGCAATTATTCTGAAAGCAAACTCACTTAGCATTGCTAAATAGGGGCTAGAGACAAACAAGGAAAGTCCCAAGCACAGAAACAACTACATTTAGGACATAGTGTCAAATAAACCAGCATAATAAAATTAGAAGCCGTAGGGATAGGGGAAAACAAGAGAGCTTTAGATGATGAAGCCAAGACACAGATTACACTTCACAAATGGAAAGGCACCAGGCTTTGGCTATACGGGAAGGGGCATACAGTCAAAAGAAGGGTCTTGCTGGGGAAGTATTTGTGATAGACATTTAAGCATACTTTGAGGCCAATGTGAAGAATCATGTTGTATGCAAAAAGTCGTGGGGAGAGGGGAGGGATCTGAGAGAGACAAACAAAAGTGGAGCAAGATCACAGAGGAGATGGGAAGAATTTAATAACATGGATGGAACCAGTAAGACACTTGTGAAACCAGAGAAATTGGGGAATTAGGTACAATAATTTTTGTATGAAGGTGAAACTAATGTCAAGTTGCTTGTATTTTCTAAGTGTGAAAAATTCTGGAAAGGATAAAAAATAAAATAGGGATAGTACCTTTTCATGATGGAGTGAAGCTGGGTTGGAGGCGGGAGGTGAGTTGAATCTAAAGAACAATTCAACTGCACTTATTTCTTTTTCAGAGTTGGAATTAACTGGGCATGGATCATGTGAAATCACAAATACCTTAAGCAAACTGAAATTTACAAAAGCGGATACACATTATAGGCATGGGCTCCCTTTTTTTGGGCAGGTAAAATATCTTCTCAATAGAATCACAATTTGGGGGATGTGGACTTAAAGAAAATGAATTTTTATACCACAAAAGTACAATTGATTATAAAAATAAATATTTATTTAGAATGAGAAAATTTACAGCAAATGACAAACTTAAAAGGCAAATACCATCACATTCAGAAAAATAAAGCACACTTTTATTAGTTAACTTCCTAACACACCTCTATAATACATTTTTCCTGTGTAGTTTGGCTCCATACTCTTTTATTTCCTCGTTTTAAAAGGTTTTTTTTTCAGGGGCGCCTGGGTGGCTCAGTCGTTAAGCGTCTGCCTTCAGCTCGGGTCATGATCCCAGGGTCCTGGGATCTAACTCCGCATTGGCCTCCCTGCTCCGCGGGAAGCCTGCTTCTCCCTCTCCCACTCCCCCTGCTTGTGTTCTCTCTCTTGCTGTCTCTCTCTGTCAAATTAATAAATAAAAATCTTTTAAAAAAATAAATAGATAAATAAAAATAAATAAAAGGGGTTTTCTTTCAGCTTCAAAGCTGAATATTGGTAATAATATTGGTAAGTTTTCAGACTGATATCCAATTTAGTAAACTATCAATTTTCTGTCATATAAGAGATATAAGGTTTCTAAGCATTTTAAGTTTCCTTTTTTAGTAACTAATCTTTGAATTGACAGTGATAAGCGATTGACAGTTGATAGACAATTGGCAGATGATAGTCAATTTCTTTATTAACTGTGAAATTCCTAAGTATTTCACAGTTGATGACATTATGAATTTTATATTTTCTTCATTTATTGCAGCATTTTGTATCAAATTGGCAAGAAATTAATAAATGTATAGATATGATTGGGCAGGGCCATTTCGGACCAAGAAAAGAATGTGAGAAAACTAAGGACTTAAAGATGAATATGACTTGGTCAGAAATTTAAGAAAGAGGGGAGAATGGCCAAGGCCCTAGGTGTGAAACAGCTTTTAAAGAGCAGAGAACTAAGAGTGTGACTGACTGAGGTAGAAGATATAACTAACTGGGTTGGCTGGATAGTTATAGGTAAGCCAGAACAGATCTTGAGGGCCTTTTGGGTTATGTTTAGAATTTTGGACTGAGAAGTTATTGAAGGTTTTAAGGAGAATAACATGATCAGTTTAGCTCAGGCTGTAGAGAGAGTGGTTTGAAGTCAGCATGAAGTAGCAAGAGGGTGAACTGTGTAAAAAAGTTAAAATAGTTAAAACAGTAAAAAAGGTTTAAAAACTATTGGAAACCATATGGGAAAAAATATTGTGTTCTCTCAGCTGAGAAAAGAGGAGCTAAAATAAAAACAAAGCATTTATTTGGGGCCTCAGAATTACAATTTGGGAAAAACAGATTTGGGCTGCAGTTCAAATAGTGCTCCCTGTCCCTGAGAACAAATATCAAGGGTTTTTAAAGACAAAGGAGAATTCTTGTGTGTGCTATTCATAAGGAATTTTGATTGGTGTTGATGGCAGAAAACTAATCTTGACTGAATATAATTGGTTGCTAAGGCTATCACTGAGCAAAACCTTCTGTAGCAGGTTGCAGGGGTTTGGGCTGAGTTTGGCCCAGTTCAAAAGTTCATGGGTCCTCCAGTGAGGAGGTCATAAGACCCATCTCCTTAATGGCTTCCCAGCTCCATTGTAAACCCCTTGATAATTATTTCACCTTAAACAGGTTTAACTGGAATAGGAGAAGTAAATAAAATGTATTTAACAGAGTAAGAGATAACACTTGGCCATGGGTTAGCATTAGTCAGCGAAAAAGAGAAAATGATTTTTTAAAAGGCCCTTGATATTGCTGCATAACCTATGGGATGGATAAAAGCACCATATACTGAGATAGAGAACACTAGGGATGAAGAGTTGGAAAGGGTGATATTATGAGTCCATTTTTCGGATATTCTCAATTGTTTTGTGCCTACCGAATATCTAAATAGAAATGTCAAAAAGAAAAATAGTTTAGAGCCCAGAAAACAAATCTTATTTTCAGATTGATTCTAAGATCTTCAGTAAATGACAGCGGCCCCAAGGTCAAGAGGTGAACCCAACAGAGGGTGGAAGGTGTCATTGCTATGTAACACCAGCTATCACTTCCACACTTCTAGGTTCTTCTGGTTGATGAGAAGGATCAACCAATCCCCAATAAAACTGTAGTCGTCAGGGTGGATGTAACTGCATACCGTTCCAGCCTTACCACAAATGAGCACGGTCTGGTGAACATTTCCATCGATACCACCAAATTCATATCTTCTCTCTTTACAGTTACGGTAAGTGGGAAGGGGCATCTGGGACTGCAAAGAGATTGCTGAGGGCACATAATTTAAGGACAGGAAGCATGTAAATTCTAGGGAGAAGAGAAATTACAATTAAGAGTAAAATAGAAACTAAGCCATTTGGAGACCTAAATTATAAGAAAATGTTATTTGCCAGAAAACTTTCACTTTAGATAGACTCCATTTACAGCATGGTCTAGTTTCAGGAGACACTTATTAGATCATCTTGAAATTCCCTTGTAAAATTCAATATTTTTATAATTTTATTACATATTAGATTTTGTTTGGTTTCTTTGGCATACTGCTATTTTTTGTTTTCCATAAAAAATTTAAATATCTGTATGCAATTTATAGGCATAAGGGTATTAAGAAAAAGTAATTGATCCTGACTGTGAGTGAATATTATCTACTAAATCAGAATAGCACAACCTTAAATAAACTTAAGGAAAAGTCACTCACAGATTATGCTTTACTTGAGAAAGCAGACTGATGGAACCAAATAAGCACGGTTCAGTAAATGACTCTTAGAGTGACCAATATATACATAATGTACATTAACAAATAGCATTTTTAAGACTTTTACTCTTTCCACTAGGTCACTTACAAACAGAATAACCTCTGTTTTGATAACTGGTGGCTTGAAGAATTTCATACACAAGCACAGCACACTGTAAAGCGTATTTTCTCCCTGAGCAAGAGTTACGTTTCCCTTGAACTTGTTACTGGTACCAAGGCCTGTGGACAAATCCAGGATATCCGGGCACATTACATCCTGAATGGACAGATTCTGAAGAACGAAAAGGAATTAACTTTCTATTATTTGGTAAGAATGGAAACCACTGTAGCTCCTCCTAATTGTGTAGACCCCAAAAAGATTGAGTTCCTAAGTAATACCCTTTGTAAGATATCAGTGAAAACCCTTTTTTCTTGAAGAAAAGTTGTTTCCTAATAAAGTTATTAATGCTTTAATTTCTTATTATGCTCTGATCTCTACTGAAACATTTAGTTTTTATGAGTTCTAATGGAAAATTATTGAATGAGAGGAAAAAGCCTAAGAAAAATGCCTTGCTAGTCAAAAAGAATGCTTTCCTTAAAACTCAATAGAAAAATAAGCAAACTATAAGAAATCAAGAACTTAATCAACAGGAAATAAAAATTATAAACATTGGGGCACCGGGGTGGCTCAGTTGGTGATTAAGCATCTGAGTCTTGATTGATCTCAGGTCATGTCTTGATCTCAGGGTTGTGAGTTCAAGCCCCATGTTGGGATCATTTTGCACATGGAGCCTACTTTAAAAAAAATCATAAACAATCTTCTGGAAAATATTCAATTTCGACTTTAATTGGAGAAGTGAAAAAAAAAACAATAAAGCCAGTAGCATTTTACACCTATAAAGCTTCTAAATAGTTTACAAAGTTCATGACTAGTACAATTGCAGGAGAAAAGGACATTGACAGGCATACTATAAATTGGTATGATACTTTTGAGACCAATAAACCTATTTGTGTCCCAAGACTAAAAATATGATCCAAAATTGGTAGTTACTCAAGTAAGTCATTTTAAGAAGAAAAATTTATGTGTAGGAAATTCTATATAGGAACATTAACTAGAAATAATATTTTTTTAAATTCTTTGAAAAAGTAAAAAAAAATTGATAAGTTAGAATCTTAGTTTTATTGCTTCCTAATTATGTGACCCTGGGCTATTTATATAATTTCATTTGTAAAGACAAATATCAATCATCTTCCCTGACTACTAGGGATGGTATTTATACCTATTTCATGGGAATATTGTGCACATTAAATCAAATCTGAAAACCAAATTATTTAGTTCAATGCCTGGTACATAGAGAGTATCAATACATTTAGTTTTTTAACAATAGAGAATACCGACATATATTTTATATCTGCCTTTACTGTATATTGCTTTGTGTATGTTTAAAATATTTATTGAAAGAACATGTAAGCTTGAAGTATTAATAGTCAAGATAAATAGCAAACATTAAGTAAAATATTAAAACACTGCAAAACTTCTATATCTGTTATTTAAGGTATGTCACTATACATATAGGAAAACACTGAAAGAGAACTTGAGTATTCGAAACTTTTGGACTGGCATAGTGAGATAATTTACTTATATATTTTAAATACGTTTACATAAGTATTTTACATAATACGTTACGTATTTTAGGATGTGCCCTTTAAAATGATAATGGATATATTTCCCTCTTCAGATCAAAGCAAGAGGAAGCATCTCCCAATCGGGAAGCCATGTGTTGTCCATTGAACAAGGAGACAGTAAGTACTTCCAGGAGTTCCTGGGTTTTTTCTCTCAAATACTCAAATCCTGAACATTGTAGCAAGATGGAGTTATTTTCACATCTTACATTTTACATGTACTTTTTATAGAGATGATGATCACCAACCTTCTTCCATCAACCAAAGATGAGGAAGCTAATATAAAAAGATGCCATAGTAGGTTCATTTTAGCCCATTTAGTATTTTTTCATTTTATAGCATTTCTATATTTTAAATTTTATTCCTAAGGTAAAATATATTCATTTTATAATTAAATGTTTTAAAACGCATAAAATAATTTGAAAGCACAGAAAATCACCAAAGAAAAATCTGACTGTGTAGGTCTTTGTATTCGTTTCCTATTGCCGCTATAATAGATTGCCACCTGCTTTCTGGCTTAAAACCATGCAAATTTATCAGCTTAGTTCTGTAGGTCAGGCTCTCCCTGGGCTAATATCAGGGTGTCAGCAGGACCGCATGCCTTCTGGAGCTCTAGGGAATTAATTATCTGTTTCCTTGCTTACGGACCTCCTGCATGCTTCAGTTTCTGTCTTCAACGCCAGAAGTACATCATCTTCAAACCTCTTTGTTGCATTTCTGCCCCCGCTTTAAAGATCACTGTGATTATATTGGGCTCACTTGGATAACCCAGAATAATCTTCCCATCTCAAGGTCCTTGACTTAATCACATTTGCAAAGTCCCTTTTGCTATATAACATATCATATACACAAGTGTTTGAGATTATGCTATCTTTGTGGGGACATTAGTCTACATATCACAAACTGCCCTCTGGCCCCAAAGATTCACATCCATCCCATATGCAAAATGCATTCACCCCGTTCCAACAACCCTAAAAGCCTCGGTCCTTTATAGCATTAACTCAAGTCCAAAATCTCATGTAAGTTTCATCAGCTCAAAAGGCCCAAATATCATCATCTCAATTATCTAAATTAGATACTGGTGGGGCCTTGGGTGTAATCCTTTCTAGGATGACAAAGAGTGATTAGTCCCAAGAAATTTTGAAAGCGACTAGACAAACATTAGGTTTCAAGATACTGCTTTATCTGCATCTTACAAGTATTTGCAAGTGACATTTTCATTTATGTTCAGTTCAAAACATTTTTAAATTTCCCTTTGAATGTCTACTTTGGACTATGGGGGTTCATAAAATAAATGTTATTTAGTTTCTAAATATTGATATATTTTTCTTATTGATTTCTAATTTAATGCCATTGCGATCATATCTTTTAAATTTACTGAGACATGGGGCACCTGGGTGGCCCAGTCAATTAAGTGTCTGACTCCTAATTTCAGCTCAGGTCATGATCTCAGGGTCATGAGATCAAGCTCCAAGTTAGCTCCGCACTCAGTGCAAAGTCTGCTTGAGATTCTCTCCCCCACCACAATTCCCCTGCTCATGCATGCTCTAAATTAATTAATTAATTAATTAATTAATTAAATAAAATCTTTTAAAAATTAAAAAAATAAATTTATTGAGACACAATTTTATGGCCTGAAATATGATCTACCCTGGTAAATGTTAGCATTTCTATTCTTTTGCTCTTAAGTGGAGTGTTTTCTAAATGTCATTTAAGTCAGGTTGGTTCACAGCATTTCTATATCTTAGATCATACCTTCCTTCTGGATTTTCTTGAATCATCAACATCTCTTGATGAAAGAATAATTGACTTTTCAAAAAAAGGGTCTGTTACAAAAAGATGAATACATTTGGTCTATTTATTTGTTACATGTCCCCAGTCTAAATCTCATAAGTAGCTTCCCTTTTTTCTATTCATTTGAATAATTATAGGCTAACATTTTACTAAGACAAAATAAAAATAAAATAAAAATTTTTTATTGACAGAGCATATTTAGAGAGATCAAAAAGCTCATTTACCCAAAACGGGTCAGAATATCCAGGAAAAAAAATGAAGAATAACATGTTACAAAGATTAAAATGTGTTTGTCTTTTATCTTTGAAACCTCATTTTTTTCTACTAGTCCTTGGCAAACAGTGGGTACACAATAAATATTCTTAAACTAATTCATAAATGAAAGGATATCTCTTTGTTTACAATTTGTGATAGCTAAACTTTATTTGAGGTTTATATATTTGAACTATCCTTGAGGAGAACTAAATTTGGAGATAGTATATCTTCCTGTTTTCATATATCTCTATAAAAAGACTTTTAGATAAAAACATTAATAAAATATGGTCCATGCCCTCAAGATGCCCTCAAGGTGTTATGCTTTTTATATGGTTTTAGTATTATCATTTCAAATTTTTTATGGAAGTATAATTAACACAATGTTATATTAGTTTCAGGTGTACAATATATTGATTCGACAATTCTATACATTACTCAGTGCTCACCATGATAAGTTGAGTCACCATCTATCACCATACAACATTATTACTATATTATTGACTGTATTCTCTATGCTGTACGACTCAGCCATAAAAAAAAGAATGGAATCTTGCTATTTGCGACAACATAGATGGACTTAGAGGGTATTATGCTAAATGACATAAGTCAGAAGTTTCAAATTTATTTTGACCCTGCGGTTTCTGTGTATTTTCACCACAAGCTGTCCTCAAATTTTCTATAGATATAGGACGGCTACAATTTTTAAAGCATTTTATGCTATAAGGAACTTAGAACATTTATGAGAAAATTAAGTGGGTATATCCTATAAGCACTATGTATGCACACAGAAAGAAACCACTAAGATAAATACAGGGAATTCTCTGATAAAAATCAGAGACACACCTTATTTTGTTTGTGATTATTTGTCCTTGTATCTCTGCAGTATTGAAAATGGCCTGAAGTAGAGACTGTGTTGCATTCTTTGAATTATCCTCAGGCATATGACAGGCATTGTGTTGTTTTGGATCATAAATAGAGATAATTAAAGATGTCTAGAAGTTCTTCTCTCTTGACTTTTTTCTTTTTTTTTTTTTTTAAGATTTTATTTATTTGAGGGAGAGAGAATGAGAGAGAGAGAGAGCACATGAGAGGGGGGAGGGTCAGAGGGAGAAGCAGGCTCCTTGCTGAGCAGGGAGCCCGATGTGGGACTCGATCCTGGGACGCCAGGATCATGACCTGAGCCGAAGGCAGTCACTTAACCAACTGAGCCACCCAGGCGCCCTCTCTTGACTTTTTTCTTAAGAAATCTTTTTTTTTAATTTTAAAACCAAAATGTGCATTAAATGTTTTTCTCTACTCAAGCAAAGGAAATGAACAAGTAATCCTACATCTTTAAGAAAAACTGTCATTGGTTCAGCATGTAGGTGTACGTGCACAATGGTAGAAATGCAAGTCTTCTCTTATTTCGTGTGTTCCAAATGTGAGTAAGTTTGGAGAGCCTCTTCTTTCTAAAGTTGAGAAGTCTTCCCTCTTCCTAATCAATTATCTTGGACTTTTTTTATTCTCCAGTGAAAGGGGTATTTTCCTTCTCCTTTCGAGTGGACTCAGACATCGTTCCTGCTGCCCAGTTGCTGGTTTATGCTATTTTACCCAGTGGAGAAATTATCGCCGATACTGAGAAACTCGAGATTGAAAACTGTTTTGCCAATAAGGTGGGTCTTTTGTGTAAGCAGTTCTTTTATTCATCTCCCCTTTGGAGGTATGAAAAAGAAGGAAATTATGTCCATTTTAAAAACTGCTGCATAGGACTCCTAAAACATCCTCCAAAGGACCTCCAAAGGCTGACAGAGATGCCATACCCTGCCTGAGAGGGCTAGTGAAGAAGTCCAAAGCAGGTGGCCATAAACACAATGTTTTAAAATTTTCTTGTTTTATCTTAAAATTCATGTGGAATCCAAAATCTACTCTATTATAAAGCTTAAATAGTTTTAATTTTGCAGTGTTTTGTTCCCTAAATTTTCAATTAAAAATGATGCTTCACGGGCGCCTGGGTGGCTCAGTTGGTTAAGCGGCTGCCTTCGGCTCGGATCATGATCCTGGAGTCACAGGATCGAGTCCCGCATCGGGCTCCCTGCTCAGCAGGAAGTCTGCTTCTCCCTCTGACCCTCCCCCCTTTCATGCTCTCTCTATCTCATTCTCTCTCTCTCAAATAAATGGATAAAATCTTTAAAAAAAAAAAAAATGATGCTTCACAAGGATGTGTCAGTTTTACCCCATTGTACCCCCTGACACACATCCATGTACTGCTGCGGAAACCAGTAACTCACTGTGAGTTAAATTCTGATAATACAGAACAGAGTATATGTATGTGCCCCATGTTAAGAAACATAGCCTGGGCCCTCTATGATAATGACCATAGCAGAAAAATCTAACATACTTGCAAATTTCCAAAGAATACATAGTTGTAATAAGAAGCCTACTGAAATATAAATAAGCTTTATCCCAAGAGAATTTTGTGCTGTAATTTTAACATTGACAATCAGATGACATTCACCAACTTCACATATCTTTTTAAAAATATACCTAGAAAGACTCTTTAACATGAGTTTTTGGGAGATTAAAACTCCATTTATAGCAAATGAACGTTTCTGCAATGAAAACTATATTAGATTATCCTTTTTTAAATATATAATGATCCACATAAATAATGATCCGAGAAAAATACACAATGGATGCTGATTTAATTTTTAATTCCATCTTCCTAAAGAATGCTAGGAAGGTTTCCAAGAGCATAGTTTCTATTCTGTTTGAATGTTCTGTGTGTTACTTGTGAACCTGGGAGAGATTCCTGTCTCCAACTTCCATGCCCTTCCTGCTAATCATGGTAGTTAGGTGTTTGTTAAACCTTGGAATGGCCATGTTATGCTAATCGCTTTCAGCACAGTTTGCTCATTCCAGCAGTGGTTTTTCTCTGGTACAAAGCATGTGACAACTCCTGGGTAACACCAGAAAACTCCACAAAGAATCAAAAGCCCCTGGACACGATTCTCAACCTCTTCATGTTAAATATCTTGTAACTTACTCATCAGAAGTAGAGATAAGGGGCGCCTGGGTGGCTCAGACGTTGAGCATCTGCCTTTGGCTCAGGTCATGATCCCAGGGTCCTGGGATCGAGCCCCGCACCAGGCTCCCTGCTCCACGGGAAGCCTGCTTCTCCCTCTCCCTCTCCCCCTGCTTGTGTTCCCTCTCTCACTGTCAAATAAATAAAATCTTAAAAAAAAAAAAAAAAATATAAAAAAAATAAATAAATAAAATCTCATTTAAAAAAGCCTGGGTAGCTCAGTTAGTTAAGCCTCTGCCTCCAGCTAAGGTCATGATCCCAGGGTTCTGGGATCGAGCCCCGCATCGGGCTCCCTGCTCAGCGGGAAGCCTGCTTCTCCCTCTCCCACCTCCCCCTGCTTGTGTTCCCTCTTTCACTGTGTCTCTTTCTGTCAAATAAATAAATAAAATCTTTAAAAAAAAAAAAAGAAGAAGAAGTAGAGATAAGCTGGGGCGCCTGGGTGGCTCAGTCTGTTAATCATCTGACTCTTGGTTTCAACTTGGGTCATGATCTCAGGGTCGTGGGTGCGTTCTCTCTCTCTCTCACTCTCTCTCAAAAAAAAAAAAAAGTAAAGATAAGCTATGAAAAAATAAAAGTATTTAGAAGAAAGTTGACTGTTTTTATTTACCACTAAAAGTTAGAAAAGAGAGTTATTAAAATTACAAATTGAGGACCCTAGAAGGTAAACAACCTGACAGGTTGATGAACAGAGTAAAGAGCAGGCTGAGAATGTGAGGGAAGATCCAGGTCAGTTGGAGATGTGTGTTCCCTCAAATCAATAATATACTTTAAGTATTTTCTTCAATTTTCATAGGGATAGAGAAAAGGCATTTTCTATTCAAAATTCATATCCCTCTTTCTTACCTTAAAAATAACAGATTTAGGATACATGTTAAATACAATGTAAGAATTTAAATTGCCTGTCATTCTTGACTGGATATGATTATTTATTAAGGATAACATTGATTAATATGGTTAAGTGAAGACTCTCAAAGCATGTCTTAAAATTCTCTTTTGTTTTCATATCAATAAAACATTTTACACTTTCTAACATAGCCACTTCTTGATTAATAGTATTTTCAGTTGATTATAATCCTAAATAATTCATGTGTTCATTTGAAATAGGCAGTCACAAACATATTTTAAGAAACTTAAATTTTCTAAAAATAAAAACAAACATGCTTAAAATAGAATTCTCCATAAGCAGTGTTTTCATAATATATTGAACTCTAGAGATGAATATTACTTCATTTTTTTAAAGATTTATTTATGTATTTTGAGAGAGAGAGGGAGGGAGCACGAGTGAAGGGAGGGACAGAGGGAGAGAATCTTCAAGCAGACTCACTGCTGAGCGCAGGGCTCAATCTCATGACCCATGGGATCATGACCTGAGCTGAAACCAAGAATCAGACGCATAACCGACTGAGCCACTCAGGTGACCCTAGAGATGAATATTATTTCATTTTGAGGATAAATCAATTAATATTTTTCATATAGGTTTCATGATACATGAATCCAACTGTTACATTAATTTACAGATCACATAGCAGGGTTATCATAGTTAATTCCAGCAATCCAAGCCAAATATTATTTAACTAAACATACTGACATTTCATTCCAATCCAAATCAACGTGCAGTTCAAGAACCTAAAAAGTTACCTGATGCTACTACAGTATCTAAATTCTAAATGATTTTATTTTATATTTTGAATATAAAATAAAACTCAGATTCCACTCAGGAAATGTTTACATAAACATAGGGAACTGATAGTTTCACTTATCAGTGAGTTTCTTCTGGCCAAAGCAGAATCAAATCTCTGAAAAAATTAGGCACAATTTTCCATTATTTTGTAGTTCTTATTCTTTATTCACAGTTCTTTGAATTTTCTCAACCAGTTAACTCTCAGAATGTATATTAGCTGTTCATTTTTTTAATGACCCAATAAATCCCCGATCCCGATAAACAGTACCGCACCCCTTTTGAATGTCAGATGACTAAGACTGCCACCTGGAGGAGACTTCAGGCAGCTGGTCACATGATTTTTCATGGCACCAGGCAAACTACACACATTCACCACAAAAACACTACACAGAGATAGGTCAACTATAGCAAGGTATGTATCTTTGTTAGCATATGTGTTCTTATTCCCATTCAGGATTCTGTTTCAATGTGACCAAAACCAATTTACATTTCACCGGTTATAGAAGGCGCAGGAAACCTGAGTTAACTGGGAACACATTTCCAAGTTATTCCGGAGATAGTTAACCAGTAGTCCCGAGGTGTATGCACCTCTTAAGCCTGGTCTAAAACGGATGAAGAGAAGCCAAGTGTAGAAAGAACTAGTCCTAGCCTGGGGTAGAAGAGAGTGTTGAGGTAGCAAAACTTAGTAAATTGAATGCCATAATCATATCCTCTTTACAGGTAAATTTGAGTTTCTCCGAAGCCCGGAGCCTGCCGGCCTCACACAACAACCTAGAGGTCATGGCCACTCCTCACTCCCTCTGTGCCCTCCGTGCCGTAGACCAGAGCGTTCTGCTGATGAAGCCTGAAGCTGAGCTCTCCCCTCAGTCGGTGAGTCCCCTTTCAGCCTCGCATGTCAGAAAATGCACAAATGAGAAGACCAGCTTGAGAAACTGGAGGTTGTAACTAAGAGGACACGTTCTTCCGAGTGTCAGGCATAGCGTAGTAAGTTATGTATGAGATGGAATTAGGTTCAGTTCCACAAAAGACATTGCACAAAGGGCTTCACAGGTCTCACCTCGCTTCATTCTCTGTTATAATACATTCTCAGTGAGGGAGCAACATGGCTGCCCCACCGCGTTCCCTGCCTAGCACAGTACCTCCTGCATAAAAAATGCTCAACACGTTGTCAATGAATACATGTCAATGAATACATGAAGAATAATTCTTTAAGGTGGGTATTATTACCTTAATTTTAAGAATGAAGAAAACTCAGCTAGGATAGATCAAGCCACTACAGAAAGAGCAGGCCAAAAATCTATCTTAAGGGGGAATTGGAATCAAATTTCTCATTTGATGTCACCTTTAATGCACCACGGTTCAAGATAGTTTGTGAAATGCCCGATTTTTAAGCTTTCCTTAAAATCTAGGCACTTACTCACTGCTTTGAAGTATGGACAAAAGAGAGTTTCCATTCAAACTTGTCTTTTAGAGATGCCTCTTGTAGCAAAGCACTTTCCAATAAGCCCTGTAGTTTACTTTCATCGTCCCTTTATTTATCTAACAAATGTTCACTGCATCTTGACTAGAGGCTGGAGCCTGCTCTGGGAACAGGAGTTCTATTGGTGAACAATCAGAAGTGGTTTTTTGACCATCTTAGGCTTACAGTCTTATTTGGTATTAAAATAAACAAACAAGCAACAGAAACAAATAAACATGTAATAGTTCCAAATTCTGCTAAGTATAATGGAAGGAACAAAAAAAAAATGTTGGGTGCCTGGGTGGCTCAGTCGTTAAGCGTCTGCCTTCGGCTCGGGTCATGATCCCAGGGTCCTGGGATCGAGCCCCGCATCGGGCTCCCTGCTCTGCGGGAAGCCTGCTTCTCCCTCTCCCACTCCCCCTGCTTGTGCTCCTGCTCTCGCTGTCTCTCTCTCTGTCAAATAAATAAATAAAATCTTTAAAAAAAAAAAAAATGTTGACATAAAGAAAAAACGAGTTGGACATTTTTTGAAATAGTGATTAGGAGTGTCCTCTTAGAGGGTTAGGAAACAAAGGGCTAGGGGCAGGCATGAAAAAGAATGAGAGCAGCGTGCCTGTAGGTCTTGAGGTCACACTAAGACTGGAGTGCTCTAAAAGGAAAAGGTAATGGCCTAATATGTAGTGGGGGGTGGGGGGCGAAGGATAGTAGAGACTGTAAGTAAAATGGAAAGTAAGGAAGATTGTGACGAGCTTTGTTAGCCTGGAGCAGAATTTGGAGTTGACAGTAAATGCTATGGTAAATCTCAAGAGTTTTTGTTTTTATTTTTTTTTAAGATTTTATTTATTTATTTGAGAGAGAGAGAGCACGAGTGGGGGCAGGTCGGGGAAAGGGAGAAGCAGGCTCCCCACTGAGCAGGAAGACTAGTTCACAGCTCAATCCCAGGACCCCAAGATCATGACCTGATCACAGGGCAGACACTTAACCACCGAGCCAACCAGGCGTCCCAAATCTGAAGAGTTTTAAACAGCAGAGTGACAATTCAGTTTCTCTGTTAAGAAGATGTTGTTTGCTGCTGAGGGGATGAGAGCAAGGATGAAAGAACAGAAGCAGTTAGTAGGTTATTGTAGTAGCATAGATAAGAGATGAACGCAGCCAGATTAGGAGGTCCGCTCGGAGGCCAGTGTTTGCTTAATGGCCTGGGTACTATGTGACTGAGCAGGTGGCCCGACACTAGGCTCTCGGCAAAAAGTGAACTGTAGTTGGTTTATTTCTCGGTTGCCTGTGCACCTAGTTTTTTCTCAAGCTAAAGTTGGTCCTGAAACAGTAGACTAAAACAAACAAACACTGGGCGCCTGGGTGGCTCAGTTGGTTAAGCGACTGCCTTCGGCTCAGGTCATGATCCTGGAGTCCCAGGCGGGCTCCCTGCTCGGCAGGGAGTCTGCTTCTCCCTCTGACCCTCCCCCCTCTCATGTACTCGCTCTCTCTCATTCTCTCTCTCTCAAATAAATGGATAAAATCTTTAAAAAAAAAAAAAAATGATGCTTCACAAGGATGTGTCAGTTTTACCCCATTGTACCCCCTGACACACATCCATGTACTGCTGCGGAAACCAGTAAC